GCTAATCTGAGTGACTTTAACTGCCCAAAGTGAGGATGAGGCACTTTTCTGTGGAAAAGGGTTGTCTCTTTATGAATTTCACCCATTGCCTGGGTGTCCAGTTCAGATTTCATCTCAGCAGTGATTCCCCAAATCAGCCGATTGCAATCCCACTCCTCTGCACAGTGTCCCATTTCACTCTGTGATTCAGGACAGCTGAATCTTTAGATTTAAGGAAGATTTTTTTTAGACACCTAAAGATAGATCTAAAGATGAATGAAATCAAATTCAGAGGGAACAATCCAATCTCTTGTCTAAAGTAACTATACCAACATGACTAGAATTGTCTCAGTGGATGTGAATGCTACACAGCTGCAAGTGGGCATATTTTTTCAAAAATTAAATTACATGTGGTAAGTCTTAACTGGTTCCACACTTTTATACATTTCATATTCATATTAGTTTGTAATTGACATCCCAGCTGTTTTCAGCCATTTATGTGAACTTCAAAACTTTTCTTTTCTAGGCCAAAGACTGATGGCAGAAGTTAACACAAGTTCTACAAACATGCAGAATTTACCAGCATCCTCTTTAAGGTTTATCTCACAGAGCAGAGAGGGATGGGACAGAGGACAGGGCCTGGGGTGCTGCATTTAAACCTGCATGTTTGAATGCAGGGCTCACCCAGAGCAGGGTGCAGGGAGGGAGCTGGGAGCTGGGGTGGCTGCTGGGTCCAAAGGGGTCAGCACTGTGTGATGCAGTCACTGTGTTGCAGTGAGTGATGCAGTGACAAGGATGCAGTCACTCTGTGCAGTCACTGTGCATTGCAGTGACAGTGTTGCAGTGACTGTGTGTGTTGCAGTGACATTGTTGCAGTCACACTGTTGCAGTGACTGCATTGCAGTGACAGAGTTGCAGTGACTGTGTTGCAGTCACTCTGTTGCAGTCACAGTGTTGTGGCCACACTGTTGCAGCCATAATGTTGCAATCACACTGTTGCAGTCACTCTTGCAGTCACTCTGTTGCAGTCACAGTGTTGCACACTGTTGCAGTGACAGTGTTGTGGTGACAGTGTTGCAGTGACTGTGTTGCAGCCACAGTGTTGCAGTCAGTGTTGCAGTCACAGTGTTGCAGTCACACTGTTGCAGTCACTCTTGCAGTCACTCTGTTGTAGTCACAGTGTTGCATACTGTTGCAATGACAGTGTTGCAGTCACAGTGTTGCAGTCACAGTGTTGCAGTCACTCTCTTGCAGCCACACTGTTGCAGTCACTCTGTTGTAGTCACAGTGTTGCACACTGTTGCAGTGACAGTGTTGCAGTGACAGTGTTGCAGTCACTCTGTTGCAGACACAGTGTTGCAGTGACTCTCTTGCAGCCACACTTGCAGTCACAGTGTTGCAGTCACTCTCTTGCAGCCACACTGTTGCAGTGACTGTGTTGCAGTGACAGTGTTGCAGCCACAGTGTTGCAGTCACTCTCTTGGAGCCACACTTGCAGTGACAGTGTTGCAGTCACAGTGTTGCAGTCACTCTCTTGCAGCCACACTTGCAGTCAGTGTTGCAGTCACAGTGTTGCAGCCACAGTGTTGCAGTCACAGTGTTGCAGTGACTCTCTTGCAGCCACACTGTTGCAGTGACAGCTCTGGGCTGAGCCCTGCAGCTGACACCTGCAGAGCAGGCTCTGCCTCTGCCCATGGCTTGGCAGAGCAGGTTTGTGTCCGTGCCATTTCCTTTGCCCTGCCTGGGGTGATGCTGACAGAAGGCACCACCTTGGCACTGCCTGGGCCCTGCTCTTTGACTTCTGAGAGGGAACGCTGGAGCAGGAGACGTTTGAGGCTTGCTGAGCTGTCTGTAATCAAAGTCTGAGAGTCTGTGCTCTAATGAGCCCTGCTGGGAACACTTTGTCCAACTCTCTCAGCTCGCACTGGGCTCTATTAAAGCTCACAGTAAGTTTGCTCCTGCTCCTGCCTTGTCATTTCCTCAAGGCACTTTGCCAGCTTGTGCCACAGCCACGAGGAACTGGGAGGTGGCACCACGGTCCTGCAGGGGCTCATTAAAAAGCTGACAGCCGTAATGAGCTCTGTGGTTGTTCCTGTGCTGGAAGCATTGTGTGGTTAATTAGGGAGCTCCCAGCGGTGTTTCAGTGAATACCTACAGCTTAATTTCTGTTTGTCTTTTGTTCTAATTACCTGTGACAGGGAGAATGGAAATGGAAACATTTTAATAGGGAATTAGTCCTGTTTATACCCTGGTGGGAATCAGGCAGAGAGAGGAAAATATCTTTGGGACCAAGCAGGGAGAGACCTGAGTCAAAGTTTGATTCATGTGCTGGCAATAAGACAATTCTTATTCCAGCCTCTTCTCCTGTTTACTGCAACCCACAGAAGTGCCAAAGGCTTTGTTTGTAAAGCCTTTCTCTGCTCTAATTAGCACTACCTTTACTTGCTGTACTAATTATACACAGAGACAGAAGCATATTCATCGCCATTGCAAAAGGCTTTCAAGGTCTTTTGCAATGAGTGAAAGAAAAAAATTCCTAATTAACAAATAATGTCATATATTTTACTTTGATTCCCCTGCACTCCAGTTTTCCCAGGACATGAACCCTGAAAAGAACTGGCTCAGTGGGGAGATGGACAGGTCATAGAAATTTTCAGGCACAATTAAGAATAAGAAATATTAAACAATAAATGAAGAAAAACCGAATATCTATCTGGTGATCAAGATGAGTTATATGACTCAAATGTCTGTACTGGGGCCTGTTGCAATACTGCAAGGCTAATAAAATAAAATTATTCTTTTAAATTAAAAGACAGTAGATAAACCACTTAGTTATTAGAATATATATAAAGAAGATGATTAGCATCTTAATTATTAGATTAGATATAAGAAAGAAATTTTTGATGATGAGGGTGTCAAAACAATTAAATGGGCTGCCCAGAAGAGCTTTAGATGCCCCATCCCTGGAGACATTCAAGGTTGGGTGGTGCTCTGAGTAACTTGGTCTAGCAGAAGGTGTCCCTGCTCATTGCTTAGGGGTTGAATTAGATGATCCCTTACTACTGAAATTATTCTAGGATGCTGTTTCCAACAGCTTGAGGGAGGTGATGCTTCCCTTCTACTCAGTACTGATGAGATGGCACCTGGAGTACTGTGGGTCCTGAGCTCCCAGTAAAAGAGACTCAGATGTGCTGGGGAGAGTTCAGCAAAGGGGCCTGGAGATGATGGAGGGACTGGGACATCTCTCCTACAGGGAATGCCTGGTACAGCTGAGTTTTTACCCTGGAAAGAGCAGGTTGTGGTGGGACATTACCCATGGATGTAAATCTCTGAAGGTAGGATATAAGTAGGAGAAATACAGGAGTGGTGTGCAGTGACAGGACAAGAGGCAATGGGCACAAACTGACACATGAGAGGCTCTGTCTGAGCAGCAGCAAACACATTTATCTGTGAGGGTGACCAAGCACTGGTACAGCTTGGCCAGGGAGGTTGTGGTGTCTCCATGCTTAGAGATGTTCCAAAACCACCTGGAACTGGTTCTGAGCAATTAGTGCTTTAGGTGGCCATGCTTGAGCAGGGGCATTGGACCAGACAACAGCTGAAGGTCCCTTCCCATCTCGATCATTTGGTGTGACTCTAGGGCAGTGTCAGTGTGCAGCAGAGTAGAAAACAGCTCCAGTTGATGCTCTGGTGACCATCTGCATGCAAGGTTTCCTGTGCATGACCAGTTGTTTGCAGACAGTGTCTTCAGGGTGAGGAACGCTACAGTGGTTGCACCACAAAGGCTACAGTGGTGGCAGCTCTGGGGTGATACCATCAGAGCAGGAAAGGGAGCTGGTGGTGAGCAGGGATGTGGTGTTCAGCAAAATGACCACCAGAGCAGGAAAGGGAGCTGGTGGTGAGCAGGGATGTGGTGGTGAGCAGGGATGTGGTGTTCAGCACAGTGACCACCATGAGAACAGACCAAGGGCTGCCTTCACACTGCTCTGACACCAGACACAGTTCCAGAGGTGTGACCCACCTCAGGCCGGGGTTAAGCCACTCAATGAAGCTGGTGGTGCTGGACACAGCACCCCAAGTGTGCCTCACAGGGCTGAGCAGAGGGGCACGGTCCCCTCCTGTGAGCACACTCTTCCTGATGCACCTCAGGATCCTTTTGGCCCTCCTGGCCCCAAGGGCACACTGCCAGCTCATGGTCACCTTGTCACCCACCAAAAGCCCCAGGTCCTTCTCTGCAGAGCTGCTCTCTAGTAGGTCAGCCCCCAGCCTGGTACTTGGGGTCATTCCTCCCCCAGTGCAGGACCCTACACTTGTCCTTGTTGAATTTCTTTAGGTTTCTCTCTGCTCAACTCTCCAGCCTGTCAAGATCTCACTGAATAACAGAACAGCCTCCAGTTCTGCATCATCATCAAACATGCTGGGGGTACATTCTGTGCCTTCTTAGATAAATGATCAGGAAAAAAAACCCTAAAAGAAATGCAACTCTTCCTCACACAAGTGACCAGGCTTGTTTCTGCAATACTGCTTTGACCTCATTCATATTTGACATCTTCTATCCCAACATCATCACCACACCACAAGGGCACCTCCTGGCCCAGCCAGGTCTGATCAGCTGATCCAGTGGGAGACAGTTTCCAGTTCTACCCACAGGCATTTTAGAGGTGTAAAGAAAATGCTTCACCTGGGGTTCAAGGAAATTGAAAGGGAAACAGGGTGTAAACAGGCTGCTGGTCTTCAGTCTGTCTAAGCATCCTGAGAGGGATTCAGGTTGGTACTAGAAACCCACCTGATCTCCCCTTGCATGTGGAGATGCCTGTTTCTGAAAGGATAAATGTTCTGTACAGGCTGTACCTGCTGGCTGGACTGCAAGGGGCTGATGGAGACAAGGGGAGCATTTGGGGACTGAGACTTGTCCTGCATGTCCCACCAATGCCCAGGTTCTCCCAGAATGTCACCTGTAACCTCCTCATTCTCACACTCAGAGTTTGAATCCAGCTCCCAAAGAAGGCTGCAGACACAAGTGAGTTTGAACATGCTTTTATTGATGGCCAGAAGCAGAGCTGGAGCAGCAGTGGGAGGAAGGGAGCAATGGGAAGCTGGGTGTACTTGGGAGCTGCATTTGTAGCTTGCCACGGAGACTCAGTGCCAAAGCTGTGCCTGCACCACAGGGGCTTCTCTGGCTCCACTTCAGCTGCCCCTGGGAGCTCCTGAGCACCAGCAGGTGTTGGATGCATTGTGGAGAGGGGGCACTGAGCATTTTAGTCAGAGAATGGAGAGCCAGGAATATCTTGGAGTGAAAACTTCTGCAGCTCCTTACGGATCCAGGGCTCAAAATACGAGGTCCTGGTGAATACCTCAGGGGAGAGGTTGCACGGACATCCATGAGAAACAATGCCATGAGCCTTCTTATTGCAGACTAATGGGCCACCAGAATCACCCTGTGCCATGAAAGGAGTGAGAGGGGTCAGACATGCCACAGCTCAGCTCTCCCTGCCTTAAGCAGCAAGTTTCCTCTTCCCTCCCTCCAGGGGAAGAACCTCCTCTTCCAAGCACCTCCCTCCCTCCAGACCCAGCTCCCAGCCTTTGTAGCTGCCTCACTACTCCTCTAAGCCACCCATGAAACAATTCAGGCCTGGAGGCTCTTGGAGATTCAAAAACTCTAAAAGAACATTGACTTCAGACATGGGGAAATAGCTAAGCCATCTGAGCAAGGATATCACAAGGAATTTACACCCCAAAGCACTGGTTAGGCTGGGTAGAACATCCCCAAGTAAGTAAAAAAGCAACTGTTGCTGATAGTTGGAAAATGCACCCCAATTCAGGGAGCACATCAGCTTCAGAGCTTCTGTGAGGACCCTCAGCTCATCATTCTGAAGGTCCTGGTTCATTGGGGTGTCCTTTTATTTTCACCTGGGAACTAAGCTAAATTTCCATTGCCAACCTCCTCCCAAGCTTGCAGCCCAAAACAACACTTACCTTGTAAGCTGCTTTTTTATGGGTTTCATCACCAACACAGATCATAGACTGACTCTGGTAGTTAGGGAAAATCTGCTCACAGATTTTCTCCTTTTGCACCTTCAATTTCACTTCCATCATCACATCACTCATCTGCCCTGTCACAGATGTCTGGCCCCAGCCAGACACTTTACATTTAGTTCCTGCTCTCACACGTTCATTTTTCTTGGCAATGGAGATACATTGCACATTCTCATTGATCTCAGCATTTTCCTCCAGCTGTCAGGCAGAGAGAACACGGGGTTAGAACCAGCAAAGGATTAGGAGCAAGTCCAGAGTTTGGGAAGGTGAGCAGGGGGAGATCCCTCAGGCAGGAAGGATCTGTTGGGCCATACCTTCAGCAGCACAATGTCATTTTTGAAGCCAACATGGGAATATTTAGGATGGATGACCCATTGTCCCACACGGATCTTCTGCTGGCTCTCTTCTTTCCTCATTATGTTGTGGGCTCCCAGAATCACAGTGACGCTCACTATGCTGCCAGGAAACACCAACACATCCCAGCTGCATTCACAGGAACAGCCCCAGGGCAGGTGGCTGAGGGAGGTGGTGTTTGAGAAACCCCCCAGAGCAGCTCTCAGCAAGTTGTCCTCTCTCACCTGGGCTCCTTCCAGAGCCCAGCTGAGGATCCCTCACCCCACACTGACACAGGTGGCAGCTGCCCCGGGCTGAGCACAAAGGGAAGCAGGGCAGGGGAGGCACTGGAGCCCTTCTCCAGCAGCAGCAGCAGCAGCTCTAAGCCATGGGAGGAACCATGACCCTGGAGACCCCTGTGAGCATTCCTGTCCCCAAGGACACTCAGCCCCAGTCAGGCAGACAATTCCTGCACTCACAGAGGAGAGCTCAGGTCCAGAGATCCCTGCTCTGCCTCAAGAGACACAGGGCACTGTTTCAGCCCAGAGCAGGGCTGAGACCCTCTGGGACAATGTGAGACTGGAAAAAATCACCTGTGCAAGAACAATGGAGTCTTACTTTTTTATATCCATACAGTGAGCTGCTGAGAGCACTGCGTCTGGGCGAATCAGGAACCCTCCACACTTCCTACTATTTGTCTTATTTTGAACGTCTAAAAAAGCCATGTAGGGTCTGGAGTGGGCCTTAACTTTTTGTCCACCAATGATCCTTCCTGGAAGAGAGATGGGAAATGTTAATATGAATGTCAAATATAAATGTTAATATGTTGCTCTTTCCTGTCAAGTTTGGGGCTGCATGAAAGGAAAGGCTCATCCTCTAATGCCAGGTGCCAGTGATCCCAACAATTCTCCTTCCTGCGGCTGTCCAAACATTGCTGGGGCACAATGGAGAGAAAGACAAGCAGCACTGACTGGGGGCTGACCAGCCCTGGCTCTGGATGACTCAAATGCCATCAAGGGCACAGCTCTAGTGCCTCTAATGCCTCACTGGCTTCAGGCCCAGGCTGAGCTGGGAGATGAGAGGAGAGAGGAAAGTGGGAGAGCAGAGACAGGAGAGAAGGTGAGGCAGGAGCCTTGCCTGAGACTGACTGCTCAGAGTCCATCTGTGCCCTTGCATCTTCCTGCCCAAGGCCCATCTCTGGGTACTCACCAGCCCCAGCCCAGGGCAGAAGGACAAAAGCATTTGTGAGCAGAAGGAGCAGCAGCATCTCCCACCACTGTCCTGATGAGACAAAGCAGTAGCTGTGGCCAGGCAGGAGACAGGTACAGAATGGCAGGTCCAGAACCTCTATATATGTCATGTGGAGCTGACACAGGAAACCTCAGCCTGCCTCTAGCTGTGTCATTTACTGTTTTGTTCTCACAACCCCCAAACTGTGGCTGGGTGAGGGGCTCATGTCACGTTCTCTGCGCTTTTGTCACAATCTTCTCAAAAAATGGAGAGATCTGGGCTGGTTCAGAGCACCCACAGTGCACAGGGAAAGGGTTGTCTGTTGAATGCATATCCCATCAGAGACCTTTGGAGAGAGCCCCTGGGACCCTGCATGAAAGGTGCTTCCACCTGGATTTTTTTTTTCTTTTTGTTTTTTGTTTTCCCCTATCCTCTGAGAGCAATGGGGAGAGCTGGCCAGGGACAGGCAAAGTTCCTGTTTTTTATCAGAGGGGCTGACTGCCATCAGAGATGTCCTTGGGAAATCAGAAACCACCAGTCAGGGTCACTAAGGGACAAGGCCAGTGGAGCCCCATCACCTCAGCCCTGGTGTTCTAGGGGATCTATCAAGTCCATGGTGATGAGCAAGTCTGAGGTGCAGCTGGGGAGTCATTCTGTGAGCCCAGTCCAGAGCAGCAGCTGCTCTGGGCAGGTGCAGTGTGGTATTTTTGGGGTCCCCTGTCATGGGGAGGAAATGATGAATCTGACTCCATGTTCTCAGAAGGCTAATTTATTATTCTATGTCACAATATTATATTAAAGAATGCTATACTGAAATTTTAGTACAGAATACAGAAAGGATACTTACAAAAGCTTAACAAGATAATAATTAAAAACTCATGACTCTTTCCTCAGAGTGCGACACAGCCTGACCATGACTGGTCATTAAATCAAAACAATTCAAATGTTGGATAAATAATCTCCAACCACATTCCAGAGCAGCAAAACACAGGAGAAGCACATGAGATTATATTGTTTTCCTTTTTCTCTGAGGCTTCTCAGCTTCCCAGGAGAAGAACTCCATGTGAAGGGGTTTTTCCTGAAAATATGACAGTGACATTTCACCCTTTTTGTATAATTAAACTGAAAAGACACTGTGATTGTAATTCTTCTGCTGGGCCCTCGCAGAAATGAGAACAAACACGTCTCGAGAGGTTTATCCATTGCCAATCAAAACCTCCATCAATTGCTGATGTGGAATGATCAAGGAGATTCTTTACATGTAGAACATCAACTTCTATCATATCACTAAAACAAGGCTTACAATATAGAAAATGCAAAAGACAATGTAAAGAACTGTTCATTGTTTCAAGTCCAAAGAGCTGAGTTTCAGGAGAAAGTCCATTGACTGGAGATGTTGCTCTTTGACATCCCTGAAAGGTCCTTTTGGTCATGAAACAGACTTGCAGAATCCTGAAACAAAAACTGCTAAAGAAAACCAACAATTATTAAAAATCCATTGATAATTATCAGCCAATATTGAGAAAATTTCTGGGATGCCGTGGCCACAGCCCTTAATTGAACCACTTGGGCTGAGGCTGATTCATGGCTTTGAATACTTTGACCTGATAGCTCTTTCCACCTATTTTATTTATTTTATTTTATTTTATTTTATTTTATTTTATTTTATTTTATTTTATTTTATTTATTTATTTTAACGTAGAATGATCAGCAGCAGCAGAGGTTTTAGGACCCTGCAGGGGCCCCGGTCCTGCTGGATGGACCAGGAATCCCAGACCCGGTCCACAGAACGGTGGCCCCGGTTCGGTTACGGGGATCAAAGGCCCCAAACCCGGCAGCGGTGGGGCGGAGGCCCCGGCCCAGAGAAACGACCCAAGCGGCCCAGAGCCGGCCTGCAGGCTGGGATCTGTGTTCTCACAGCCCGCCCCCACCATGCTGCCAGTGCCTTGGCAGCAGTAGTGACCGAACACCTCCTCCCCACAGAGCCACTGGTGCACGCCGGCGGCTGGGAAGGAGAAGCCTTCCCGGGGATCTCCATGCCGGATCTGGGGTCGTCTTTCCCCAGAACAAGCGAACAACGCTCGCTTTCCGCTGTTTCTCTCGCCCCCGCGGTGCAAACATCAGTGTTGCTGCTTTCTGCCCCTCAGCACCACCGCCATTCCGTCCGGCCTTGGGGCCAGAGGCAGCGCCTCAGGGAGCCGCCTCCGGGAGCCGCCTCCCTCACGCTGCCGGGGCGCACAGGGGGAGAGTCAGGCATTCCAAACGCCAGCGAGACGCCCCCGACCAAACACGAATCACCCCGCGTCAAACACTGTGTCCCAGAAAAACACCGAGTTGAAAGGTTTCAGCAATCAGCTGTCGAGCTGTGCTGCCTGCACTGAGGCACAGGCCGGCCGCAGGGTCCGACGCAGACGCTGACAGGGAGGACGGAGTCCCTGAAGGCGGTGGGACCGCCGGGGGTGCTGGGGGTGCTTCCCCTGCCAGGCTTGATGCAGAGAGAGCGGCCACCGCAGACACGGAGGCGGTGGCCACGTCTTCTCCTGGTTACGGGAGCAGCAGTGCAGGCACAGTTTGTCACACGGCTGAAGCATTGCTTAGGAACACACCAGAATCTCTGAGGGGCCGCAGGGCCGCGGGCAGGGCCTGCAGGCGGCTCCAGAGACGGTGGAAGCGGCAGGGCAGGCGGCGCAGCCGTCAGCGGGGCCTGTGGGGCTGGCGGGGCAGGCGCTGCCGCAGATGGAGGGTGTTTGTCTCAGCCCTGGGAGGGGTAAAGGAGGTGGCAGAATCGGTGCAGGGTCGGTCCCCATCAGCACCATCTGCACTGTTGTCATGAATGCAATTCCCGGCTGCGATGCACAGGGACGGGGCCTGCTGTGCAGCGTGGGGCTGCCGGCCGCCTCTCTCGGTAGGGGTGTGTTAAAAACGCCAATCACTTGTTTCTAAGATTTTTTAAAGTTTAATAGTAATAAAATGGTTATTAAAATAGTAATACAATTAGAGTAATAATAATTTCGACAAACTGAATTAGGACAATATGAGACAATAAAGACAAAGAGTTACACACGTCCGGGTACCTTTCTCTGGGCAGCACAAGCCCAAAAAAGGACACCCGTTAACAAAGGATTAACCCTTAAAAACAACAGCCTGTTGCATATTCATACACTTCATCCATGATGCATAAATTCCATTCAAATACAGGATTCTGTCTGGTCATCGTGAACTTCTTCCTCCAAATCCTAACAGTGCCTTTGAGGCGGGAAGAAGTTCGTTTCTTATGATAAGAGGGCCATAAATTCTTCTTCTCTGAAAGATTTAGGTGTCCTGTGGCTGCTATCTCGCTGCGAGTCCTTTCTTTTAAAAAAGAGTATCCTACATAGCATCGTTTCTATTTTAACAATTTTTATAACCTAAAACTATATCAAACGCAGTCCTTAAGAGAATTAATACAGCATTACTTTCTAAGACAACACATATAATATTCATTTAAATATTTGCGAAAAGCCAATCATAAAATACATGCATTTTTCACAGGTGGGAGCGGGTCCGCACCCTCCCATACTGGAAGGCACGGAGAATTCCACAGTAGAGCCGGCCGGGATCTCCCTCCGTGGCCGCTGGGGCATCCTCAGGCAGGCAGAGAGCAGCGGGGGCACGGCCCCTCTCTGAGACAGGCTGCCGTCACTCACTGCTGCGGTGCCTGGCAGCCGGGGCAAAACAGTGAGAGACTGCGCTGCCGCCGGAGCTGCACATGATCCACAGAAGCAGAAACAAACTTCTCCTCAGCCGTGGGCAAAGCCTCACCTCCCCGGGATGCAGGGGCGATGGGAACCAGCAGTTTCTCTCCTTGGATGGATCCTTCTTCTGCTGGCTCTGGTGGGGAGGGTGGTAACTCCCCACACGAGGTGAGGTGCCCCACCAAATGGGCTCTCTGCCGCAGAACTGAGAAAAGCGCTGTAAACGCTGGATAAATTCAGGGCAGCCCAAAGCCCCATTCATATTTCTCCCAGAAATAGGGATCCATGGACTCCCAGACTGGTAGGTCCAAGGAGCATGTCAGATCTATAAAAACCCCACAAAATTTTGCCCATCTGATAAACTGATAGAAATATCTTTTCACCATATGAAGAGATACTCAGGGACTGAGACCTGTCCTGCATGTCCCACCTATGCCCAGATTCTCCCAGAATGTCACCTCCGCATTCTCACACTCAGGGTTTGAATCCAGCTCCCAAAGAAGGCTGCAGACACAAGTGAGTTTGCACATGCTTTTATTGATGGCCAGAAGCAGAGCTGGAGCAGCAGTGGGAGGAAGGGAGCAATGGGAAGCTGGGTGTACTTGGGAGCTGCATTTGTAGCTTGCCACGGAGACTCAGTGCCAAAGCTGTGCCTGCACCACTGGGGCTTCTCTGACTCCAGCTGCCCCTGGGAACTTCTGAGCACCAGCAGGTGTTGGATGCATTGTGGAGAAGGGGCACTGAGCATTTTAGTCAGAGAATGGAAAGCAAGAAATTGCCTTGCGTGAAAACTTCTGCAGCTGCTTTTGGATCCAGGGCTCAAAGTATGAGATCCTGGTGAAAACCTCAGGGGAGAGACGGCCACCACATCCATGAGAAACAATGCCATGAGCCTTCTTATTGCAGACTAATGGGCCACCAGAATCACCCTGTGCCATGAAAGGAGTGAGAGGGGTCAGACATGCCACAGCTCAGCTCTCCCTGCCTTAAGCAGCAAGTTTCCTCTTCCCTCCCTCCAGGGGAAGAACCTCCTCTTCCAAGCACCTCCCTCCCTCCAGACCCAGCTCCCAGCCTTTGTAGCTGCCTCACTACTCCTCTAAGCCACCCATGAAACAATTCAGGCCTGGAGGCTCTCGGAGATTCAAAAACTCTAAAAGAACATTGACTTCAGACATGGGGAAATAGCTAAGCCATCTGAGCAAGGATATCACAGGGAATTTACACCCCAAAGCGCTGGTTAGGCTGCGTAGAACATCCCCAGGTAAGTAAAAAAGCAACTGTTGCTGATAGTTGGAAAATGCACCCCAATTCAGGGAGCACATCAGCTTCAGAGCTTCTGTGAGGACCCTCAGCTCATCATTCTGAAGGTCCTGGTTCATTGAGGTGTCCTTTTGCTTTCACCTGGGAACTAAGCTGAATTTCCATTGCCAACCTCCTCCCAAGCTTGCAGTCCAAAACAACACTTACATGGGAAGTTACATTTTCACTGTTTTCATCACCAACACAGATCATAGACTGACGCAGGTAGTTACTGGAAAGCTGCTCACATACTTCCTCATTTTGCACCTCCAGTTCCACCTCCCTCAAGACATCACTCATCACCCCTTTCTTAGATGTCAATCCCCAGCCAGACACCGTGCATAAATCTCCTTCTCTCACACGTTCATTTTTCTTGGGAATGGAGATACATCGCACGTTCTCATTGATCTTGGCATTTTCCTCCAGCTGTCAGGCAGAGAGAACATGGGGTTAGAACCAGCAAAGGATTAGGAGCAAGTCCAGAGTTTGGGGAGGTGAGCAGGGGGAGATCCCTCAGGCAGGAAGGATCTGTTGGGCCATACCTTCAGCAGCACAATGTCATTTTTCCCAACTTTACGGGAATATTTAGGATGGATGACCCATTTTGCAGCACAGATCTTCTGCTGGCTACATTCTTCATCCATTATGTTGTGGGCTCCCAGAGTCACAGTGACGCTCACTATGCTGCCAGGAAACACCAACACATCCCAGCTGCATTGACAGGAACAGCCCCAGGGCAGGTGGCTGAGGGAGGTGGTGTTTGAGAAACCCCCCCAGAGCAGCTCTCAGCAAGTTCTCCTCTCTCACCTGGGCTCCTTCCAGAGCCCAGCTCAGGATCCCTCACCCCACACTGACACAGGTGGCAGCTGCCCCGTGCTGAGCACAAAGGGAAGCAGGGCAGGGGAGACACTGGAGCCCTTCTCCAGCAGCAGCAGCAGCAGCTCTAAGCCATGGGAGGAACCATGACCCTGGAGACCCCTGTGAGCATTCCTGTCCCCAAGGACACTCAGCCCCAGTCAGGCAGACAATTCCTGCACTCACAGAGGAGAGCTCAGCTCCAGAGATCCCTGCTCTGCCTCAAGAGACACAGGGCACTGTTTCAGCCCAGAGCAGGGCTGAGACCCTCTGGGACAATGTGAGACTGGAAAAAATCACCTGTGCAAGAACAATGGAGTCTTACTTTTTTATATCCATACAGTGAGCTGCTGAGAGCACTGCGTCTGGGCGAATCAGGAACCCTCCACAGTAACTAGTGTTTGTCTTATTTTGAACTTCTAAAAAAGCCATGTAGGGTCTGGAGTGGGCTTTAGCTTCCTTTCCACCAATGATCCTTCCTGCAACAGAGATGGGAAATGTTAATATGAATGTCAAATATAAATGTTAATATAAATGTTAATATGCTGCTGCTGTTTCCTGTCAAGTTTGGGGCTGCATGAAAGGAAAGGCTCATCCTCTAATGCCAGGTGCCACTGATCCCAACAATTCTCCTTCCTGCGGCTGTCCAAGGCAATGGGGCTGCCCAAAGGAGAGAAAGACAAGCAGCACTGACTGGGGTCTGACCAGCCCTGGCTCTGGATGACTCAAATGCCATCAAGGGCACAGCTCTAGTGCCTCTAATGCCTCACTGGCTTCAGGCCCAGGCTGAGCTGGGAGATGAGAGGAGAGAGGAAAGTGGGAGAGCAGAGACAGGAGAGAAGGTGAGGCAGGAGCCTTGCCTGAGACTGACTGCTCAGAGTCCATCTGTGCCCTTGCATCTTCCTGCCCAAGGCCCATCTCTGGGTACTCACCAGCCCCAGCCCAGGGCAGAAGGACAAAAGCATTTGTGAGCAGGAGGAGCAGCAGCATCTCCCACCACTGTCCTGATGAGACAAAGCAGTAGCTGTGGCCAGGCAGGAGACAGGTACAGAATGGCAGGTCCAGAACCTCTATATATGTCATGTGGAGCTGACACAGGAAACCTCAGCCTGCCTCTAGCTGTGTCATTTACTGTTTTGTTCTCACAACCCCCAAACTGTGGCTTGGTGAGGGGCTCATGTCACGTTCTCTGCGCTTTTGTCACAATCTTCTCAAAAAGCTGGAGAGATCTGGGCTGGTTCAGAGCACCCACAGTGCACAGGGAAAGGGTTGTCTGTTGAGTGCAAATCCCATCAGAGACCTTTGGAGAGAGCCCCTGGGACCCTGCATGAAAGGTGCTTCCACCTGGATTGTTTTTCTTTTTGTTTTTTGTTTCCCCCTGTCCTCTGATAGCAATGGGGAGAGCTGGCCAGGGTCAGGCAAAGTTCCTGGTTTTTATCAGAGGGGCTGACTGCCATCAGAGATGTCCTTGGGAAATCAGAAACCACCAGTCAGGGTCACTAAGGGACAAGGTCAGTGGAGCCTCATGACCTCAGCCCTGGTGTTCTAGGGAATCTGACAAGTCCATGGTGAAGAGCAAGTCTGAGGTGCAGCTGGGGAGTCATTCTGTGAGCCCAGTCCAGAGCAGCAGGTGTCCTGGGCAGGTGCAGTGTGGTATTTTTGGGGTCCCCTGTCATGGGGAGGAAATGATGAATCTGACTCCATGTTCTCAGAAGGCTAATTTATTATTCTATGTCACAATATTATATTAAAGAATGCTATACTGAAACTTTAGTACAGAATACAGAAAGGATACTTACAAAACGCTTAACAAGATAATAATTAAAAACTCATGACTCTCTCCTCAGAGTGCGACACAGCCTGACCATGACTGGTCATTAAATCAAAACAATTCAAATGTTGGATAAACAATCTCCAACCACATTCCAGGGCAGCAAAACACAGGAGAAGCACATGAGATAATATTGTTTTCCTTTTTCTCTGAGGCTTCTCAGCTTCCCAGGAGAAGAACTCCATGTGAAGGGGTTTTTCCTGAAAATATGACAGTGACATTTCACCCTTTTTGTATAATTAAACTGAAAAGACACTGTGTTTGTAATTCTTCTGCTGGGCCCTCGCAGAAATGAGAACAAACACGTCTCGAGAGGTTTATCTGTTGCCAATCAAAACCTCCATCAATTGCTGATGTGGAATGATCAAGGAGATTCTTTACATGTAGAACATCAACTTCTATCATATCACTAAAACAAGGCTTACAATATAGAAAGTGCAAAAGTCAATGCAAAGAATTGTTCATTGTTTCAAGTCCAAAGAGCTGAGTTTCAGGAGAAAGTCCATTGACTGGAGATGTTGCTCTTTGATATCCTTGAAAGGTCCTTTTGGTCATGAAACAGACTTGCAGAATCCTGAAACAAAAACTGCTAAAGAAAATCAACAATTATTAAAAATCCATTGATAATTATCAGCCAATATTGAGAAAATTTCTGGGATGCCGTGGCCACAGCCCTTAATTGAACCACTTGGGCTGAGGCTGATTCATGGCTTTGAATACTTTGACCTGATAGCTCTTTCCACCTATTTTATTTTATTTTATTTTATTTTATTTTATTTATTTATTTATTTTAACGTAGAATGATCAGCAGCAGCAGAGGTTTTAGGACCCTGCAGGGGCCCCGGTCCTGCTGGATGGACCAGGAATCCCAGACCCGGCCCACAGAACGGTGGCCCCGGTTCGGTTACGGGGATCAAAGGCCCCAAACCCGGCAGCGGTGGGGCGGAGGCCCCGGCCCAGAGAAACGACCCAAACGGCCCAGAGCCGGCCTGCAGGCTGGGATCTGTGTTCTCACAGCCCGCCCCCACGATGCTGCCAGTGCCTTGGCAGCAGCAGTGACCGAACACCTCCTCCCCGCAGAGCCACTGGTGCACGCCGGCGGCTGGGAAGGAGAAGCCTTCCCGGGGATCTCCATGCCGGATCTGGGGTCGTCTTTCCCCAGAACAAGCGAACAACGCTCGCTTTCCGTTGTTTCTCTCGCCCCCGCGGTGCAAACATCAGTGTTGCTGCTTTCTGCCCCTCAGCACCACCGCCATCCCGTCCGGCCTTGGGGCCAGAGGCAGCGCCTCAGGGAGCCGCCTCCCTCACGCTGCCGGGGCGCACAGGGGGAGAGTCAGGCATTCCAAACGCCAGCGAGACGCCCCCGACCAAACACGAATCACCCCGCGTCAAACACTGTGTCCCAGAAAAACACCGAGTTGAAAGTTTTCAGCAATCAGCTGTCGAGCTGTGCTGCCTGCACTGAGGCACAGGCCGGCCGCAGGGTCCGACGCTGACGCTGACAGGGAGGACGGAGTCCCTGAAGGCGGTGGGACCGCCGGGGGTGCTGGGGGTGCTTCCCCTGCCAGGCTTGATGCAGAGAGAGCGGCCACCGCAGACACGGAGGCGGTGGCCACGTCTTCTCCTGGTTACGGGAGCAGCAGTGCAGGCACAGTTTGTCACACGGCTGAAGAAGCATTGCTTAGGAGCACACCAGAATCTCTGAGGGGCCGCAGGGCCGCGGGCAGGGCCTGCAGGCGGCTCCAGAGACGGTGGAAGCGGCAGGGCAGGCGGCGCAGCCGTCAGCGGGGCCTGTGGGGCTGGCGGGGCAGGCGCTGCCGCAGATGGAGGGTGTCTGTCTCAGCCCTGGGAGGGGTAAAGGAGGTGGCAGAATCGGTGCAGGGTCGGTCCCCATCAGCACCATCTGCACTGTTGTCATGAATGCAATTCCCGGCTGCGATGCACAGGGACGGGGCCTGCTGTGCAGCGTGGGGCTGCCGGCCGCCTCTCTCAGAGGGGGTGTGTTAAAAACGCCAATCACTTGTTTCTAAGATTTTTTAAAGTTTAATAGTAATAAAATGGTTATTAAAATAGTAATACAATTAGAGTAATAATTTCGACAAACTGAATTAGGACAATATGAGACAATAAAGACAAAGAGTTACACACGTCCGGGTACCTTTTTCTGGGCAGCACAAGCCCGAAAAAGGACACCCGTTAACAAAGGATTAACCCTTAAAAACAACAGCCTGTTGCATATTCATACACCTCATACATGATGCATAAATTCCATTCAAATACAGGATTCTGTCTGGTCATCGTGAACTTCTTCCTCCAAATCCTAACAGCGCCTTTGAGGCGGGAAGAAGTTCATTCCTTATGATAAGAGGGCCATAAATTCTTCTTCTCTGAAAGATTCAGGTGTCCTGTGGCTGCTATCTCACTGTGAGTCCTTTCTTTTTAAAAAGAGTATCCTACATAGCGTAGTTTCTATTTTAACAATTTTTATAACCTAAAACTATATTTAACACAGTCCTTAAGAGAATTAATACAGCATTGCTTTCTAACACAACACATATAATATTCATTTAAATATTTGCGAAAAGCCAATCATAAAATACATGCATTTTTCACAGGTGGGAGCGGGTCCGCACCCTCCCAGAGTGGGCGCAGGGGAATTCCACAGTAGAGCCGGCCGGGATCTCCCTCCGTGGCCGCTGGGGCATCCTCAGGCGGGCAGAGAGCAGCGGGGGCACGGCCCCTCTCTGAGACAGGCTGCCATCACTCACTGCTGCGGTGCCTGGCAGCCTGGACAAAACAGTGAGAGACGGCGCTGCCGCCGGAGCTGCACATGATCCACAGAAGCAGAAACAAACTTCTCCTCAGCCGTGGGCAAAGCCTCAACCCCCCGGGATGCAGGGGCGATGGGAACCAGCAGTTTCTCTCCTTGGATGGATCCTTGTTCTGCTGGCTCTGGTGGGGAGGGTGGTAACTCCCCACACGAGGTGAGGTCCCCCACCAAATGGGCTCTCTGCCGCAGAACTGAGAAAAGCGCTGTAAACGCTGGGTAAATTCAGGGCAGCCCAAAGCCCCATTCATATTTCTCCCAGAAATAGGGATCCATGGACTCCCAGACTGGTAGGTCCAAGGAGCATGTCAGATCTATAAAAACCCCACAAAATTTTGCCCATCTGATAAACTGATAGAAATATCTTTTCACCATATGAAGAGATACTCAGGGACTGAGACCTGTCCTGCATGTCCCACCAATGCCCAGGTTCTCCCAGAATGTCACCTCCTCATTCTCACACTCAGGGTTTGAATCCAGCTCCCAAGAAGGCTGCAGACACAAGTGAGTTTGCACATGCTTTTATTGATGGCCAGAAGCAGAGCTGGAGCAGCAGTGGGAGGAAGGGAGCAATGGGAAGCTGGGTGTACTTGGGAGCTGCATTTGTAGCTTGCCACGGAGACTCAGTGCCAAAGCTGTGCCTGCACCACAGGGGCTTCTCTGACTCCAGCTGCCCCTGGGAGCTTGTGAGCACCAGCAGGTGTTGGATGCATTGTGGAGAAGGGGCACTGAGCATTTTAGTCAGAGAATGGAGAGCCAGGAATATCTTGGAGTGAAAACTTCTGCAGCTCCTTACGGATCCAGGGCTCAAAATACGAGATCCTGGTGAATACCTCAGGGAAGAGGTTTCGTTCACGTGCATGAGAAACAATGCCATGAGCCTTCTTATTGCAGACTAATGGGCCACCAGAATCACCCTGTGCCATGAAAGGAGTGAGAGGGGTCAGACATGCCACAGCTCAGCTCTCCCTGCCTTAAGCAGCAAGTTTCCTCTTCCCTCCCTCCAGGGGAAGAAAGAACCTCCTCTTCCAAGCACCTCCCTCCCTCCAGACCCAGCTCCCAGCCTTTGTAGCTGCCTCACTGCTCCTCTAAGCCACCCACGAAACAATTCAGGCCTGGAGGCTCTCGGAGATTCAAAAACTCTAAAAGAACATTGACTTCAGACATGGGGAAATAGCTAAGCCATCTGAGCAAGGATATCACAAGGAATTTACACCCCAAAGCGCTGGTTAGGCTGGGTAGAACATCCCCAGGTAGGTAAAAAAGCAACTGTTGCTGATAGTTGGAAAATGCACCCCAATTCGGGGAGCACTTCAGCTTCAGAGCTTCTGTGAGGACCCTCAGCTCATCATTCTGAAGGTCCTGGTTCATTGGGGTGTCCTTTTGCTTTCACCTGGGAACTAAGCTGAATTTCCATTGCCAACCTCCTCCCAAGCTTGCAGCCCAAAACAACACTTACCTTGTAAGTTGCTTTTTTACTGTGTTTATCACCAACACAGATCATAGACTGACGCTGGTAGTTAGGGAAAAGCTGCTGACACATTTTCTCCTTTTGCACCTTCAGTTTCGCTTCTCTCATCACATTAGTCTTGTTTCCTGTCACAGATGTCCAGCCCCAACCAGACACTGTGCATAAAGCTCCTTCTCTCAAACGTTCATTTCTCCTGGGGATGGAGATAAACTGCACGTTCTCATTGATCCTGGCCCTTGGCTTCAGCTGTCAGGCAGAGAGAACACGGGGTTAGAACCAGCAAAGGATTAGGAGCAAGTCCAGAGTTTGGGGAGGTGAGCAGGGGGAGATCCCTCAGGCAGGAAGGATCTGTTGGGCCATACCTTCAGCAGCACAATGTCATTTTTCAAGTCATCAGGGGAATATTCAGGATGGATGACCCATTGTCCCACACGGATCTTCTGCTGGCTCCGTTCTCGTTTGTTTATATTGTGGGCTCCCAGAATCACAGTGACCCTCACTGGTCTCCCTTTTTTATGCACACAGTGAGCTGCTGAGAGCACTGCATCTGGGCGAATCAGGAACCCTCCACAGTAACTGGGTCCTGAGCCACTTTGAATTTTTAAATAAGCCATGTAGGGTCTGGAGTGGGCATCAGCTTCCTTTCCACCAATGATCCTTTCTGGAAGAGAGATGGGAAATGTTAATATGAATGTCAAATATAAATGTTAATTTATTTATTTAATTAATGCTGCTGTTTCCTGTCAAGTTTGGGGCTGCATGAAAGGAAAGGCTCATCCTCTAATGCCAGGTGCCCGTGATCCCAACAACTCTCCTTCCTGCGGCTGTCCAAGGCAATGGGGCTGCCCAAAGGAGAGAAGGACAAGCAGCACTGACTGGGGTCTGACCAGCCCTGGCTCTGGATGACTCAAATGCCATCAAGGGCACAGCTCTAGTGCCTCTAATGCCTCACTGGCTTCAGGCCCAGGCTGAGCTGGGAGATGAGAGGAGAGAGGAAAGTGGGAGAGCAGAGACAGGAGAGAAGGTGAGGCAGGAGCCTTGCCTGAGACTGAGTGCTCAGAGTCCATCTGTGCCCTTGCATCTTCCTGCCCAAGGCCCATCTCTGGGTACTCACCAGCCCCAGCCCAGGGCAGAAGGACAAAAGCATTTGTGAGCAGGAGGAGCAGCAGCATCTCCCACCACTGTCCTGATGAGACAAAGCAGTAGCTGTGGCCAGGCAGGAGACAGGTACAGAATGGCAGGTCCAGAACCTCTATATATGTCATGTGGAGCTGACACAGGAAACCTCAGCCTGCCTCTAGCTGTGTCATTTACTGTTTTGTTCTCACAACCCCCAAACTGTGGCTTGGTGAGGGGTTCATGTCACGTTCTCTGCGCTTTTGTCGCAATCTTCTCAAAAAATGGAGAGATCTGGGCTGGTTCAGAGTACCCACAGTGCACAGGGAAAGGGGTGTCTGTTGAATGCATATCCCATCAGAGACTCTGGAGAGAGCCCCTGGGACCCTGCATTGAATGAGCTGTGAGAGGCTGGAGTTGAATGCAAACTCTCCCAGCAGAGACAGCACTGCCTCTAAAGGCAAAGTTCCAATTAAACAAAGGCAGCACCAGGCTAATTCTGCCCTTGGAGTCACACATCCCTTGATGCTGCTGCTCAGCCCTTTCAGGTTAACAATCAGTCCCCAGCTGGTGAGGATGCAGAGCTCACAGCCCTGGGCATGTAACAGAGGAGATGCCTGTGTGTGTGCAGGAGTCCCTCGGGTCCCATTTTGCAGTGAGGGAGGGAGGGCTCCATCCAGAACAGCTTTCAGTGCTGGTGTGAGGATGTTTGCTACATCCCCTTGCCCACAGAGGGAGCACAGCTCTGAACAGCCATCCCTGACAGCTCTGGAATCAGATTAAATCAACCCCACCTCTAGGGGATTTGGGGATTTCAAGAGACTCTATTTAAGCAGCAGAGGCAGCTCAGCTGTTCCCTTTATGGGCAAAAAATAGAAATGCTTTGAGGCCTCTCAGCTTTCAACTGAGTTGAAACAAATCTAACAAATTCCCTTTCCTCCTCTCTGTGAGACAAGTCCTTGGCTGACTTTCTATGGTATATGCCATGTGCTAATGTCAACAGATTATTCCAGTTGTGACAGAAGACTGTCTGCATTTAAAATAATTTGAAATAATTTTTAAAATAATTTAAATAATTTTTAATCTGCAGTGTAAGCTGACAGTAGGAATCATCAGCCCAACAGCATTCCTAATGTAAGAAAACAAGGGAAATACTTCTATCAAAATTGGAATGAACCATTTTGGAGGCACTGGATAGCAGAATTGCTGCAGGTAGGACACTTTGCTTCAACATGTCTACTGTGAATGAATAAAGGAAATCCAAGGAAGAGCTAAGGCCAAAACTTACTACAAAAAGAAGTTTACTTGTTTTTACACAAATTACATAAATTGAGGGTTGTTTCTGGGAGGTGTTCTGAATTAGGGAATAAAAGATGAACTGTCAGTAAAACAGTGGCTGCTGTGGATGTTTTTGACTTTAATAAAGAGCTAAAGATCACAGCAATAGTTTAAAACTTTCACATGGGCTTGGAGGGCAGAATTAGGTGGTTTCCACTTCAGCTACATGGATCTAACAAGTTAACAGCAGTGGGAATGTGTGCTGATAGAGACTGCAGGGAGCTTTTCATGTCGTTCTCTATCTGTCATGCACAGGCTCTGTTGAAATACCACTCCAAAAGTGTCCTTTCATCCCTGTGGTAATGGAAACAGCCAAACCCAGAAAGATCCCTTTAAAATACATCAGAGCATCCAACATCTGAGAATATTGGGAGTTTCCTTATTGTGCTTGTGTGTTTTTAAGTAATCTGTGGCTCCAGGATCCACAGCTTTGTGTTTAGGTCATAAAACCCAGGGGTAGAAGATGTCCTGTGTCAGTCACAGACAGAGCAGTGTCAGCACATTTCTCCTCACAGAGAAGAGCAAGGCACAATTCTCCCCAAAAATATTTCTGCATTTCACATTCTCTGAACCTCAGAGAAAGGGAAAACAATTCTTATTATTTGCTGTGTCTGTGTTTGTGCCCAGTAGAATGCAACATGGAGATTGTTTACCCACAGTGATGGTGATTTGTTTCCCCTGTCAGGGCCAGGTGTGTGTGTGTGTGTCAGGACTGTCACTGACAGCCACGAGATTGTGTGCAGAGTGAGTGCTTGGCAGGTTCAGTTTAGATGTAATGTAATATAGTGTAGTATAGTATAGAATAATAAAGTATAATAATTGATTAGCTTTCTGATAACATGGAGTCAAATGCATCATTTCTCTCTCCTTGTCAGGGGGAGGGAATATAGTGTAATATAGTTATAATATAATATAATGTAATATAATAATAATATAGTGTAATATAGTAATAATATAGTGTACTATAGTGTAATATAGTAATAATATAATGTAATATAATAATAGTATAGTGTAATATAGTATAAAATAGTGTAATATAGTAATAATATAGTGTACTGTAGTGTAATATAGCAATAATGCAATATAGTGTAACATAGTAATTGTGTAATATAGTATAGAATAATATAGTGTAATATAGTATAATATAGTGTCATATAGTATAGAATAATAAAGTATAATAAAGTAATTAATTAGCTTTCTGATAAGATGGAGTTAGATGCATCATTCCCACCCCTTGTCCGAGGGAGAAAGTATAGCGTAATATAGTACTAGGGTAATATAGTATAGAATAATACAGTATAATAAAGCAATCTCTTTGCCCAGGATTTTCTCCTGTGAAGCTGAGAAGCCTGAGCTTCACCTGTGTTTGCTGCTCTGGAATGTGGTCTGGAGATTATTTATCCAACATGTGAGTTGTTTTAACTTAATGGCCAATCATGGCCAGCTGTGTCAAGGCTCTGAGGAGTCACAAGTTTTTATTATTGATTCTTGTTAAGCCTTCTGTCTGTATCTTTCTCTTTCTTTAGTATAGTTATAATATAAGGTAATATAATGTAATGTAATATAATGTAATGTAATATAATGTAATGTAATATAATATAAGGTAATATAATGTAATGTAATATAATGTAATATAATATAACATCACATAATATAATATAATATAATATAATATAATATAATATAATATAATATAATATAATATAATATAATATAATATAATATAATATAATATAATATAATATAATATAATAATATCCTTCTAAGAACATGGAGTCAGATTCACTCATCTCTCGCCTCATCCTGAGGACCCTCACAAACTCAACCGATCTTTTCTCTTTCAGTGCCTCAGTTTCCCATCCTGGGCAGTGAGAAACAGAGCTGGTCCAGCACTTTGTGATCATCCCTCACACTGCAGCACTTCTCAGGGGAACAAGGCCATGTGAGTCATGAATGGCTGGTCCTGAGCTTCTCCCTCTGCATTTCCTCATCATTCCCCATGGGTACCCCTGCCTGGAATGATTCCTTCTTCCTTTGCCTGCCTACAGACAGGATTTTTTGTTTGGTTTACTTTGGTGCTGGTTTCTTTGCTCTGTGGGTGTTTTTGTGGATGGGAGTTGGCTTAGGGCTTCCCTTCACAGCTTCTGCTTGCTCCATTTGGGAGTGCTTTGCCCACAGCTGGGCTCTTGGAAGCATTTCTGTCCTCCTGGCAGCTGGGGGTTGATGTGAATGTGAGCCAAAGCCTCCCACAGCCTGAACTTCCCTGGCTCTCATCTGAAGTTGGGTTGCTCTGAGCTTCAGATGTCCTGGAGGGAGGCTGCCTGCGCTGTCAGCCCACTCAGGAGGAGAAACAGAGTGCAAGGAGCACTGCCCACTGCTCCCTAAGGCAGCACAAGGGTTTTTCTTTCTTTCTGTGGTCTGTGGGTGTTTCAGTTGTCACCTGGGCGTTCCCCTGACTGCAGGAAGTGCCTGTGAGCACAGACCTGACATGTGGGGGGAGAGCAGATCCTCAGCAGCTAACCCTGCACCCATGATGGAGCCACCCCTTCAATGCCAGCTCCTCTTGGTCAAAGGCTTGGTGGCACCACCAAACAATGACACTTGGAGGGCACTGGTACCACTTCCTTCTCAATGTGCTCAGCCCAGCCTGCTCTAGGCTTCCTCCCTTTGATCCAGCAGATCTCCAGGCATCCCCAGGAGGCTCCTGGTTGGAAGCAGTGTGATCCTGGTCTGACAGTCTGTCTGATTCCTCCCAGATGGAGCCAGCAGAGGAACAAGATGCAGGAAACCACACCCTGCTGAGTGAATTCATCCTCTCTGGGTTGTCCAGCCACCCAGAACTCCAGCACCTGCTGTTCTTCACAATCTGCTTCATTTACAGCATGACCCTCATCGGGAACCTCCTCATCTGCATGGCCACAGCTCACCCCACCCTCCACACGCCCATGTACTTCTTCCTCCGCGTCCTGTCCTTCCTGGATATTTCCACAGCCTCAGTGGTCGTCCCCAAGATGCTGGTAAACATCCTGTCAGAGGACAGGAGCATCTCCTACCTGGGCTGTGTCACACAGCTCTACTGTGTGGTTTCCTTGGCATCCACTGAGTGGTACCTGCTGGCAGCCATGGCCTACGATCGCTACGTGGCCGTGTGCCGCCCGCTGAGGTACCCGGCCATCATGAGCACCAGGGCTTGCCTCTCCATGGTGCTGCTCTCCTGCTGCAGTGGCCAGGTGGTGTCGGTGCTGCAGACAGCCTGGGTGTTCAGCCTGTCCTTCTGTGGGCCCAGGAGGATCAACTACTTCTTCTGTGACATCCCGCCGCTGGTGCTGCTCGCGTGCGCGGACACGTCGCGCTACGAGCGGCAGCTGATCTCAGCCACGGTGCTCGTCATCTTCACGCCCTTCTGCCTCATCCTGCTGTCCTACACCTGCATCATCTCCAGCATCCTGAGGATTTCCTCTGCAGAGAGCAGGCACAAGACCTTCTCCACCTGTTCCTCACACCTTACTGTGGTAACGCTGTACTGCGCCAGTGGGACTTTGATTTACTTACAGCCAAAATCCAGTAATTCACAGGAGGCTAAGAAAGTCCTGGCTCTCATATACACAACTGTCATTCCCACTTTAAACCCCCTGATTTACAGCCTGAGGAATAAAGAAGTGAAGGAAGTACTAATCAGAGGGATGGCTGTGTTGATGAAGAAATAAAGATTTTCTTGTCCATGAATGTGTGGATTAAAAACCTTATTTCCAATTTTGGTGAG